GTGTGAGTGTGTGTGTGTGTCTGTGTGTGTGTGTGTGTGTGTGAAGAACAGTCCGTACCGCTCTGATATCACAGCTGCCAAGAAGATAAAGCCGCAGATGCTCTCGGCCTCGACAGGATTATCAGAAATACCCACGAGTCTCTGAGACAGACTCCTGTCGCCGGGACGATCGTGAGCACAGACGCTTTGAAGATTCTTCAGAGTCACGATCGGATTCACATTTAACTACAGACCGGCAAATGATGCTCTGCACACAATCCTCAAGACGACACTCAGGAAACTGACCCTTTATATGAATAATATCGACTGTGCATCAAATCTCGACTGCATGAGTTTTTATTTTTGCCACTAAATTATTGAACAGCTCTTTATAAGCTTTTCCAACTTTAACAGTACATTCATGTGAAGATATACAGCAAATCTCAACTGCTTGACTGTTTATATCACCACAGAAAGGAAACAACAGCAGATGCGACTGAAGAAAATATGATTTCAGTATTAAAAGAAATCACAGGTGAATATTTGTTTATGTTTACAGAGACCTAGTATTTCTGTATTTCTCTTTCTTTCTTTCATCATGTCGCTCCATCAGTTCATTCTTCAAGTTTAAAGTCTCATTTTCTGGTCAGTAGGTGCTGTTCCTCTCATAAACGCATTTGCCATCTCAAACGAACGATGATAACACAAAGATAAAAACTGTCTGACCCTGATGAAGAGTCGAGATGTTCAAAAGAATCTGAAAACAATGACGCTGATAAACGTTTCAAGACAAAAACACAACTGTTTGACAGATAAGCCATCACTACTGCTCTTATCATCACTTTATTTATGCAGTTTTTATTTTTATTTTATTTTCACCTTTAGTTTTATTTATTAATTTATTTTTAATTAAGTTTTTACCTTCTATTACTGCTCGTGTTATTGTTAATATCAACTTATTTAAGCAGTTAATTACTTTATTTATTTATTGTTCATACATTTTTATTTTTTATTAAATTTTTACTTTAATTTATTATCAAATTCATTGCTGCAGTTATAATTGTTATTATATCACCTTATTTATACAGTTAATTTATTATTAATTTGATTAATTAATTTATGCATGTATATATAACTTATACATAAATACATACATTTTTATTTTTTTAATTAATTTTTGTTAACCTTTTTTAATATCTTACTTCATTTTTATTCTTTATGGCACAGCAATGGCACTTCATATATATTTCTTCCTTTTTGTACTACTGTTGTTCTGCACCACATACAAGTGCTTTGGCAATATAAATATACAATTATTTCTCAAGCTGATAAACACATTAAATCTGAAAAACAAACTGTCCTGAGACAGATACACTAGTCTGGGTCGAGATGATCGTTACTAAACAGCTCAAACTCAACATAAACCTCCTCAAGTTAACATGACTTCAGCTTCACTGAGACACAGAACAGCAGCGCCACTGATGTTAATAACACACACACACTCCATAAACACACGACTGAACATTCAGAAACACAGTCCATCACACTAAAGCAACAAACACTGTAGATCAGTGACGACAAACCAGCAAGGTCACACAGAAACCTGAGACTATCACACACACACACACACACACACACACACACTCTCGCGCGCGCACACACACATAAACACATGCACTCTTACGCGCACACACACACACACACACACCCACACACACACACACACATACACTCTCTCACACACACATACACACACTCACAAGTCTCTGTAAGTGGCTGAGATCAGCAGAAACAGGAGGTTTGTGTCACTGACTCTTACACTTAAAGAACTCCGAGAGTTTAGGCACACACACCAGCTGCAGTGGAGATCATCCGTCAAACACTGCTTTACTTTTCTCTTTATTTAGTCTTTCTGGGCTCTGTTGAGGTGAACAGACACTTTCTGCTGCTGGTACATAAGAATCAACATTCATCTTCACAGATTCCTCTGCATTTACGCCACACTACAAAAAAAAAGTAAACCTACATTTGCAGAGCAGATCTTTTCTTTTTACAATTCAAAAACAAAACTATGAATCATTCATCTGCTGAGCCAGATTTTTATATATTTTATTTATTTATATTCAATATTTATTTCATTTATTTATTGGCAATTTCAGAATTTAAAGAAAAATTATGAATTATTTTCCCAATTAGCATTTTTTTTTTTTTTTTTTTTTTACAAACCAGGGCCAAAATAAAATAAAATAAAATTTCTGGAGTCATTTCTGGAGTCTAATTGCTCAATAAATAAATGCACACATTGATGTCTCAGATAATGGCTAAAGCAGACAGAGAGAGAGAGAGGATCAGGTTGAGTTCTCCAGGTGTAGGGAGTAAATCTAGCGGACACACACACAGATCTCTGACCTCCGCGAGTTCACACAGGAGTCAGACGCTTCATCCATCACCCACCACCATATAAACACATCTAATATTTAATAATCTTACGTACAAGCAACTTTACGATAGACTGAATCTGGACTGTGGTTCTGCTTTGACCTTTGACCTTTGTGGGGTCTCACATCAAACTCGTGTCGAATGAATCCTCACAGTCCCCTGAAACAAACGCTGACATTACTGATGTGCTTTTCCACTAACTCTTTCCTAAGTTCCAGCCCGTTTATTTGTGCATAACGAGCGATAATAAATCGTAGCGGCTTTTCCAACACTCTGCTTTGCATCGCAGTAAACTCATCGTCTGAGAGCATTTCAGGACACATTTCACATGAAGCGTCCAGCAGTGAAATGATCCCATCTCACTAATATAAATATTAAATTACATTTCAAAATATGTATTTTTGGAATGTACATTTGTAAATTTTCCAACCTGCAGAGCCACAGCTAAATAAATTTAAAAAAAATAAATAAATAAATTTCCCAAAGGGACTAATCTCAACATAATTACTGTGTTCAAAACAGCGTTATTTAGCGTTAACTGAAACTAAAATTACATTTAAAACCATAAAAATTTAACTTATTTTATTTAAAGTTTATTCTGTATGTATAAACAAGTATAAGCAAGTTATTATATGTCAAATAAAAAATATATAAAAAGCAAGCTTATATATTATATGTTTGTTTTTTATATTTTTATTTTTTATACTTACTATAACTAAATATTTATTTATTTATTTATTTTATTAACTTAAGCAACATTTCTGATTTAATTTCACTTCATGACTGAAATAACAATAAATAAATAAATAAATAAATAAATAAAAACCTCACTGAAACTTATTACTAAAACTTTAACTAAAATTCAAATGAAAAAAAAAATGTATTCAAAATTTTAATTAAACTATATATATATATATATATATACATCCACGTGGTCAGAATTGTTGGTACTCTTGGTA